ACTAAGAGAAAGGTGATCCATTATTAAAGCTCAATAAAAAATAAAAATCAAAATTCATGAAGAGATAATCTGATAAGATACCAAACTCAATTTTATTGAGCTCAATCACGCGTTAGATCTAAGTATATGTGAGTTTAGAACAATATCAAACCCATTTGTTTTTGGACTCAATTATATGCCAAGCCCAAGTGTCGAGTTTAGAAAAATATCAAACCCATGGACTCAATTATATGCCAAGCCCAAGTGTTTGTGAGTCTGACAAGATGTGAGACTCAACTCTTTTGGGCTCAGCTATAGGTTTAGCCTAGAAGTCTTTGAACCTAAAAAGACATATTACTCAACACCTTTAGATCTAGGATTGCTTTAGATCCAAACATGCCATATAGGAATGTAGGATCATCATCCCCCAACACATTAGATATGTGAACAGTCCTTTAAAAATATGTGAAAAGTCCTTTAAAAATTGGTGACATGTTAATTAATATTAATTTCAATTATAAGGTTTGTCCCATTGAAACTAATGTTATGTATAAGATGATGTGGGATTGCTTTTTATATGCATGTGATATTTTCATCAACATTAATATCTTCTAAGAAGACACTTACATTAACATTAGTGTTAATGTAAAGAACTCTCTCCCTATTTTGATGTAAAAAAAGGGAAAAGACTTTCAATCCCTCGAATAAAATGAAAAAATTCAACGTACAAAGTTTATAAATACTCTCTAAAGGTAAAGGGTTCATAATCTTGACTCTCTCATAACATATTCTCATTATTTATCATATATAAACTAAGAACATATATTTTTATCCTTATTTAGAATTGAATACTCATTTACCACAACTTCTTATTATAAAGTTATTGACTTAATTATCAAAAGATCCTTAAATCCTATAAGAAAAGATTGTTCTACAAGAAATCAAGCCTCTGTCACCAATTTTCTAAGCCCTTGGTTTTGGAGAATAAGATATTGACATGAATATGTGATCATCCATTATCCATACACTCAAAAACCCAAGTTTCTTAACATGCTAAATTCTGAGTATCATTAATTGATGTCATATGTGGGAATGTCATCCATGTGTGATAAGTCCTTGCTCAAGGGTTTATTATGATGCTACCATTCCATATTGGCTAGAAAATAAAATAAAGGGTTTAGTCTTTTATAAGCACAAAAGACACCACTCTCTAAAAAATACTTTTAAAAAAAAAGAAAAAACCCATTATATAATTACAGTAGGACAATACTTTTTAGAGGACCTATTATACACTAATGTGAGCATGTATCATCACCATTTAATTTTGAATTTTAATTATTTGTTTTCTATTTAACTTGTGTTTCTTGTTTAGGTTGGTTTTAGGCTCAATTTAAATCATTTATGGTGCTATTTTAAATATCATAATATTATTCAAACTTATTTTATTATAAAATATTAGAGATTTTCTCTATCTCTTTATAATATTTAAAGTTATAACTTCAGTACATGAGAACCCTAACTTTTATTATCCTTATTCATTGCATTAACATATCTTTTTGTAATTTTTATTTTGAAAACATAGAAATTTACTCCAAAACTATCCAAAAAATAATTTATTATATATATATATATATTAATTAAATATATTTTTATCATTTTCATATTTATTTTTTATATCCCGGGACATTAAGAAACACAATCCCTCCTATATCATGTTAGATGGACGGTGAAGCCATAAAAAATGAAAATTCACCCTAACAGAAAAGGATGCCCTTGTTATTTCTTGCTTTTTGATTAATAATAATTACATTAGAGATAGTAATGATAATTATTCTGTACCAATAAAACAAGATAATTATTATTTTTTTGTGACCATCCATTCTAAAAGAGAAAGAACTGCCTACCAATCGAAAAGATGGTGATTGTCCATATGAAGCTCCCTTACATCCACTCTAAAATTACGGGAAATTTAGCTTTTATGATCATGCAATTATTTTAGCTTGGTGGAATATACTGTTCAATCAGACAATAATAAACAATAAACAAGTATCCTATGTGCTGCTTGAAATATGCAAATTGAATGAGCCGTCATGAGATTCAGTAATTTGCTTAATCATAATTAATTATGTTTTGCCCTAATCCTTAAGGTATTGGCTCAAGTTTATTTGTTTATTTATTTACAGAAGTAGATTACATAGATTACAAGAGGGTTCTTTGACTCCCCTCACGTAGTCTTTGATGATTTTAGGGGAAAAAAACCAGAAAATTGATAGCCTTTAAAAGTAGACATTTCACAAGTTTTTTGAGGTATTGGCTTAAGTTCAAAATTAACGAGAATATTTAAAAAAATATATAGAAAAAAAAAAGATATAAATAATTAATTACTTTGAGTGATGAAGATATCAAGTTTTTACATGCGAGAACTTACTTGTAAATCAAAACTGGTTAACAAGTTATAACTTTAAAACATAAAAATAAAATTTTATTTTTATAATTATAAAACTTAGATAACTTCTGATTAAAAATTTAAGTTATTAGCTCAACAAATTAATTCAAAATAATATTATTTTAAAATTTATTTTAAAATAAAAAAATACCATTTTAATCCTTTTTAAATTAAATCAAATCTTACTCCCGATTCTGATTATATCAATTCTCATTTGATTTGACAGCCAACAAGTTACTCAAGATCCTTTACCATTTTATAACACTGAAACACATTTATAAAGTTTTTAATCTTAACATATAAAAACTAATAAAACACACGTAATTAAAAATCTTTTGTCGTTTATAATTATGTAAATTCGAATAAAGCAAAACTGAACCTTTTGTCAAGTTGGTGCCCGCAAGTTGTCAATCAGTGCCAGCCTTCCATGGATGTTACAAAGACCACACAGACCGTGACAGAACTCAGATTTTCAGCACCCTTTATCACAAGACAAGCACAGGATCCCTTTTCGTGCCTGTTCACATTCTCTTTGATGAGGTGTGAGACCAAATCATTTTTATAATCCTGGACATAAGAATAGGTCAAACACATCTTCTTCTTGATTTATTTATTTATTTTTCAAGATATTTACTCGTTCAAGGAGAAATAAATCTAATTAAGAATTAATCTAAGTTTTCGGTAGATATATAATAATTATTAAAGGGGCAACCTCGCTAGCTATAACATCATCCATGGGGTGGTTCAAGATTCGCATGATGATAAATAATGATGCAAGTTGTTCTTCCTAGCATGTATCAAGTGGGATATTTTATTAGGCAAAATGGGATTGAAAAGGTCTCTTTTGTATAATTTTTCATACAGAAATGAGGAGAGGTGTCGTCCTCCAAGCAGAAAAGATAGACATATATATACATCTTGATTGCATTTATATCGAATTCAAATTAATTTTAAAGTGATTCTGTAAATAAAACTAATTAAACATAGACATATGTTATACTTAACAACATAATTTTAACCTAAAACCATATATATTTACTATTATAGTTGCTTTTATGGTTATGATTTGCAAACAAAAAAATAAGGATTTATAAGAAAAAACTTATATAAAAAATATAAATTAAAAAATTGTTTAGTTACATGTTGTGTTGAATAAAAAAGAAATTTAAAAAACGATATGCATCAAAAAATATTTATTCAATGATAATTATAAAGACACATAAACACTAGATGATATTAATTCTGATAATCTCAAATGTAAATAAGATTTAAAAATATTGACCCAATCTCTCTTCTAAACATAAAAAAACAAGATTTTTATGCCTTTGATAAACCTAAAACTTTACCTTAACTTGAAATAAATTTCGCAAATACTTTTTATAATTAAACCATTTTTAAAGCTGCGATTGTCATAATAAAAACATCTTCAATCGGATCCAAGATCTGTTGTGCATAATTTATTTACGTACAAGGGAGGATTATTAACACCATAGTCTAATTTGATGTCACGTATGATAGTTTTTTAATTATTTGGTTTCTTGTTTATTTATCTATTAATTTTTACCATGTCATTATCAATCTAGCACAACCAAAGAAACTCTTACAGATGGAGAGAATCATGTGTAGTCACTTGTTGCATGTACATGATTTGCTCGAAGAAAATCTGAACACAAGACTTGCTCAAAGAGGATTTCTTGTTTTTTCTCTTTTTTTTTTGAGTTTAGCATGGAAATTTGAGGCCAACAACTTTAATCTTCTTCTTTTTTTAAAATTGTTCTACCTAATTCTTTTTTAAACACAGATATATATATATATATATATATATATAGACCTAATTCTCATGTCTTTTTAGCACACGAAGTTCAATTCAAAGAAAGACTTGGTGGGTTTATATTTTGTGAATAATGTTAATTATAATGAAAGATGTCAACCTTGAGTAATTTATAATATACAAGGTTGGAATCCTCTCATTCAATAAAAATTAAAATGGCTGGATTTTTTGAAAAGTAATTATTTGCTTAATATAACAAGGCAACTCTCTCCTTTTATCTTTAATTTACTTTCAATTTTCTTATGGAACTACAATAAGAAAAGAAAAGGGTTTATATATTTAAATTATTAAAAGCCTTAAAAAGAAAGTGTATTTAGTGTATCAATAGAGTGTCCCTTTATATTTGATTGTCTCTACAAAGAACAATATGGCCCTCATTTTCTCATCCCTCTTACCTTTAGCCCAATATAAAGCCGTATTTTTACTCCTTTGACCCCTTTGGTATTGACACAAAAGTGCAAATTACTATCATCTCCTATCTGTAATTTGTGTTTGGTGTTATAAATCATCACTCTCCTAGACTGCTTAGATGAAATCAATAGGTTTTTCTGGGCCACAATCTTACTAACGGGCCAATCTTGATAAATAGGCCCAACAATCTCCCTCACAGGCCAACATGGGCTCATAATCCTTATTTCATGGACCCTTCAGCCCGATCAAAATTCAAATCTTTCTCCCAATACATCTTAACCGTTCCAGGACCCACATATAAGCCTCTAATTAACGGTCAAGACTCAATCGCTATCTCCATCACACTTACACAGAACAAAACGCAATCAACGGTCCCTGATTTCTCTACAAAACCCAAAATGACCAAACCAACACTGATCAAGCCAGAAACAGTCGTGATCCAGTGCGACAGCGATGTTCCTGCGGGCAATCGGACGGCCATTGCTGGCCAGAGTGAAGCAAACGACAGGGATTGTTGGATTGGACGTGGTCCCGAATGCGAGAGCAGTTTTGATCAATCTATACTCCAAAACCCTAAAAGAGATCAAAGCAGTGCCGGAAGATGAAGGATACCGGAAAGCAGTGGAGACATTCACGAAACACAGACTTACAGTCTGTGAAGAAGAAGAAGAATGGGAGAAGATTGAAGAACGGATTGACTGTGGTCAGGTCGAAGAAGCTCAGGATGAGCTCAAGCTCATCGGAAAAATGATCGGTCCGTACATCTTCCAGATTTTATCATTATATTTTTTTTTAATATTTTGTTTGAAAAATAGGGGGAAGCACATTATTGGTTGAGTTTTTGTTGACCTTTGTGATTTTGTTTCGATATCATAGTTTTTAAATCTGATCCATGACATGTTAGGAGTTATATGCTAACCCGTCAACTCGAGGTATTTTTTTTTATATAAAAAAAATGTCATTCTGATTTTTTTTTTTAAATTAAGATATTTTGACCAGGTTTTCCTCTTGACCGAAATGCTATTCAACCCAAGTTTTTGATTGATTACAACAGGAAATTTCTCTTCTTATTTTTTATAGAAATTTAGTCTGGCCCTCCCAAGTCAGGTCATTTTTAAAACAGTGGTTGTTATTGTACTTGTAAAATATGAAGAAAACCTTAAATATGACTAAACATTGAAGAACTGTAAGTGCAAGAGCGATAGTGATTAACCGAAATCATTGACCAAAAACATAAACCACATGGACCAATTGTGTACTTTACGTTTAAAAAATAAATGTAGCCGTTTGAGCTTGAAAAAGTATTGTAATTAGTTGAGTTGGAGAATTTTGATTTAGAATATTATCTTGTACAATAGAGGATTGAGTGTGCATTTTGATCATAATCATGTTGTGTTAACTAGCGTCGAGTTGAATATTGATTGATAGATTGTTTTTCTGATTTTCATGTTTTTCCAATAATTGGAAGGATGCATTAAGAGAAATGGGATTTTAGTGTGAAATGAAATTTGATTCTATTGGGATTTTGTCAATGATGTTTTAGGCGATTGGAGTAGCTTGTTATTAATAGGTAAGAGTATTTGTAATGAAGCTTGGTAATTTGTGATCAACTAAACAAATTCATCACTCCGAACTAGTTGGTGTTGCTAATGGGTGATCTTACGAGCTTTGAGCTAAACTGGTTCCCACAGATATAGGCTTAAGCGTAAGCTGTCTAAATAAAGGTGTATTAGATACTGGGGCTTTGTGGGAGGCTTTTATGATACTAAGTCGTGTTTTACCACTTAAAGTTTGCTTCTTTCTGCTCTGCCAGTCAACCAATTTCCAGGACTCATGGAGTGTGTATTGGAATACTTGAGATTATAGTTGCTTAATCATTACTAATTTGTTAGTTTGATGCTTGTTGGCTAAGGTACTATTTCTGAAATGCGTGGAGTTTGGTTCAATGCTCTACATTTTTTGTAGTTTTAACTGTAGTGTCACAGTAAGTTTAATGTGAAATGAAGCTTGATTCTGCAGGTATCTTGTCAGTAATAATAAATTAAGAGAATAGGGTTGTGTGTTATTAGCCACGTTAAGTTCCTAACCAGTTGGTAACTCTAATGGATATTTTCCTCAGTTTGTTCTGATTGCACATTTTTGTGAGCTTTTGCTATTCATTTTTCGACCTCTTTAATGTAAATCATTCTAAGCTTACCGAGTTTACCAATTTGTATGCATGGAAGATTTTCTTGGAGTATCTTTCCGGCAAAAGAAAGCAAAAGGAAAAAAAGAGAAAAAGAAGTATGCATATGGATTTTAAACTTTCATTTGCATTAGAATCCCTTTAACAACTGACATGATTTTGTTCCGTGAACAGAGTGGGATCCTTGGGGTGTTCCTGATGACCATGAATGTGAAATTATAGAGAATGATGCTCCCATTCCTAAGCATGTCCCAAGGCATATACCTGGTCCTCTCCCTGCAGAGTTTTACCAGACACTCGAGGCTGTGCTGACAAAACGTGTGGAACCAAAGGGTGCACCTGCTGTCACATCTGGTGAATCGCAGTCAAAGGCGTAACATGCCGCCGACAGTCATTTTGGGAAACACTGAACTTGAACCTGTTTCTTTGCTGATAGTTTCTTGTTCGTGTTCGTTATCTTGTAATCCCTATTTTCCAGGTTGAATAGGATTCGATTTATGAGACACGGGCTTGAACCATTCGGGGAACAATCGTGAATGGGTTTAACAAGTATTTTGTTTTTCGTGTTTTTGTTTTTATAACCCACGCTCTTGCTTCATGGGGAAATAATACATCTGGTATTCGTTTGATCAGAGTACGTGTGCTGGTGCCCTCATTAACCCTTTGTTTGAATTCAGGAGGGCAGGTGCTCTCACGAGCTAAATTTAGTCTATGTAATAATTTCTCGTATGCGAGGCCATGTACAATGTGGTTGTAATGATTTGTGTGCTTGCTGGGATTTAAAAAGACAGTGCAATGGGACTGCTATGATATGAACTTTTCTTTTTTAATAAAGAATATTTAAAAATATTATATTGTTTTTAGTTAAAAGTATTTTTTATATTAAAATAATATATTTTTTAAAAAATATTGTTTTAATATTAACATACCAAAACAATTTTAAAAATATATATTTTTTTTAAAATCAATTTTTTTTTAAAAAAAAAATAGTTTACACCAGTTCGTAAACATATCTGATTTCCGGTAGGAATCCGTGATAGGAACCTGTGATGTCGTGGAGGCATGGAGACAGGATATAATTGTTAGTTATCATTGGCTCCATTGTTATAAAACCTCCATGGTTTACTCATCGATGTGGTTGAGTTTCATATCGATTTATTTAAGTATGGTTGGGAATATAATCAATTTATTTTTTACCATGCATGATCTCTTCTTGAATATGAATTTTTAGAATTAAAATAATCTGCATAACTCAAGTACTCTAAGTGTGTGTGTGGTGTTTGTTCATGGATATCAACTTTATGCTTCGAGATTGGTGTTGTATATTTACCGGGAAAAAAAAATTAAAATAGAAGAGAATGCTATTAATAATCTTTATTATGCAACCATGCAATAACAAAATTTAAAATAGAAGAGATTGCTATTAATAATCTTTATTATGCAACCATGCAATAAGATATGTAAGAAAATAGAATAAAAAAGATTATACAAAACACTTGATTATAGATTAGATAATTTATTGATTGTTTTAATTCTTTGATTTCTTTCCTTTGATTATGAATGAAGTAATCAATAATATTTACTTTGATTTGATAATTAAAATAATTTTAATTATTTTAAAACATATAAGAAAATATATAAAATCCTTGATTATATCCTTTTGATTCAATAATTAAAACGACATCCTATGGTTTCATTTCCTTAATTTATCCTTTTATTAATTAGAAAATAATTAATAATATTTACTTTAATTATTTTCTTAACATATCAAAATTAATGTTATCTATATAAAAATTCAATTCGAAGACACACCCAAGATCGTCACGCAGCACACGAAATGCCAATGATACCAATACAGGATTGATGATATTCATCAGGTACTTAAAATATATCCTCTCATCTTATGACATGCCAAAAGAGATTTCAATATATAGAATAACGAGCCCTAATGTCTTGTCCAAATCTTGACAGAAAAAGGAATTGATCTTAAGCGAAGGTTTGATGGAAACGGTGTTTGATTTGCAGCTAGCTGAACGTATTGCAGTAAATATTTAGAGAAAGAAGAGAGAACAACCAGGCTTCTACGCATGAATGTATCGTTAATTTATTGTCGAATAACACTCGGTGTTCCTTATTCATTTATTACAACAACTATTATTTCGACTATTAACAAAAATTAAAAAAACAACTATTATTAGCAGACTGATTGATTTTAGAATATTCATGGATTGCCTACGAGTGGCTGAGCTCCAAGAACTTCTTCACCAGGAGGAGGGAGGCCGCAGAGACAAAAGGAGTCCAAGCACTTGCAGTGAGGTCCCAATACAAACAATCTTTTGAAGTTTGGCACTTCCTTTTTATAAGTGCTTCAGCTCCAAATTGTGTTCCTGGTTTTATCAAACAAAAACAAGATATAAAGAAACAAATGATTTGAAGAAAGTGAACATCATCCCATATCATGCATATAATTCTCGCACGCACGCACGCACATTTATATGCTTCTCTTCAAATGAGTGTGAAGGTGCAAAGTTCCATGCCATGTTGTGCCCATTTTAAAAACATAATTTTGTCCCTAAAACTCTTTTCAGTGAAAAACTGCCGTTAAATCATAAAAAAATGACGGTGTTTAAGACAAATTTGTGTGAAGGAAAAGGTATTTTTCTGACAAAGTTATGTCTTAGAAACATATTTTAGTGGCGAAAATAAGATGGAAAAATTAAGAAGCTTTGATGATGAAATTTCGTGGGGAAATATATGACCAAAGGCTAGCGTCGAAGATGGCCTTGCTGCTTCGTGATGAATTGTTACAGAATAAAGTTGTCATCTTTCCTTACTAAAACTTTAATCTCGCTGGAAAAACCTCTTATGACAGTTACACTATGAACTTTTCCGAGCAATTCTTTGCCGGAAAAAAGTTTTCACGATGAAAAGCAATACTTTCGTTAACGAAAATTTCATCAGCAAAACAGCCTGTCGTAAATAATCATGCATTTTTAATATCAAATAAAAAAGACTACTCGTTCTACAGAAAAGAAAGAAAAAGGAGTTACCAGCTGCGAAAACGTAGGAGGACGACCAAGAAAACCAACTTAATGGAAGACTTGTCCATATCTTCTGGTTTGGTTAATTCTTAGAGAAACTGTGCTTGATACGTGAGTATGTTCTCCTTGTTTAATCTTGACGATGAGAGTCGGGGAAACCCTTTCAGGCTTGTTATATAGATGAACTCCCACATGGGTGAAGCCAGGAATTAACGTGATATCTACCTAATCCTGCTTAATATGGAAATAGAATGGAAGGGTTATATACTTACCTAAAATAGCAGAATTTTATATTTAATTGAGCTTCCTAAAATGGGATTTCATATTAAGAAAAGTATTCCCACATAGAGGATTAGAAATCGATACCTAGCTAGAATGTTTTATATATTACACCATCCATGTACTCCGAACCTAAATTATTTCATTAAAATATTGGAAAATTAAGATATATGGAAAAACAAATGAATCCAATGTATCTAGATAATACTTAATAATTATGATTTTGTTTTTCCCAAAATAACGGGATAGAAAAAAAAATCCAAAATAGTCAATTAAAAAAGTAATATATAAATTGTTATCTGCATTATATATATATATATAAAGAGATGCACGGGTCTCGCTAGCACAATCATGTCTATTTTTTTTTGTTATTGGCAAGTGTGATAGGCATGCCAACAAGCTTAGAGGTTGTTTTTGCTATGCATGCAAAGGTTTAATATTGTGTTTGGCATATGTGTTATATACACAGGAAATAAAGCATGCCCGCCCTCATCTCTAGGAGGCAGTGTGCCAAACCACCAACTCTAAGGTTTTTTTTTTTTTTGATGTATATTGATTCGTCTTGTTAATAATTTTTTGAAGGTTCTAAAAATGTTATTATTGGAGATTTAATGTGTTTCTAGTGTTATTTTTAATTTTGTTTTCTATTTTAATTATTGTGCCAGCTATTTCTTCTTTTTCTCTCCAACATGGGTTTTATTAATAATTTGTAGGGAAAAATAAAAAAGAGAATATTATTAATAATTTTTATTGATATAAAAATTCAAATTCAGATAGATTTTATGCAATAATGCAATAAGATATATAAGAAAATAGAATAAAAACAATTATACAAAATACTTGATTATAGATTAGATAGTTTATTGATTGTTTTAATTCTTTGATTTTTTTCATAATCAATGATACTTTGATTTGATAATTAAAATAATTTTAATTATTTTAAAACATATAAGAAAATAGAGCAAATAAACTATATAAAATTCTTGATTATATCATTTTGATTCAATTATTAAAATAACTTCCTATTGTTTCCTTAGTTTTTTCCTTTTATTAATTTGAAAATAATCAATAATTTTCTTAACACGTCCAGATGAATGTTATTGATAACTTTTATCTATATAAAAACTCCATTGGAATCTACACAACCATGCAAAAAGACATATAGAAAAATAAAACAAAATAAATTATACAAAATAGATCTATTTCTATTATTATTGCAGGGGAATTTCACCGTCTACTTGCTTCGATCAACCAATCAAAAAAGATATAGCATGGATAAAATGGCAATTCCATCCATTCCGTTGAAAATGACAGAGGTGCCCTTTGCCACGAGAATTCAAAGTAGGTTTTTCAAGAAAAATTAAGAACCTTTCTTATGCATCATCGATGATCTTCCACGCACCAGCTCTTTCTTTTTTCAAACCTGTGGTTTTTTTTTGTGAGATTAAATATATTAATTAACATTTATCTTTTAATTTTTTTTAGTTTTTATTTTTTATCATCATTTGTGGATTTTTTTATTTATTAACAAATATAATTTTTGATTTATTTGATTATATGTATATATAAAAATTTTTATTTTCACTTAGAGTTTTTTTAAATACAAAAATATATTAAAAAAATCTGTGTATAATTTTTTTTATTGAAAAAAATATTTAACCCATGATAAAGCCAGAGTCTAATATCTAGTCTCTTGCAAACAAATTAAACGTGGCTAGCGAGTAAAGAAAAAATATTTTTATAATTTGAGTATTTGATTAAATTCTTCAATGTTTTTCCAGCTTAAACACAATCTATCAATGTAACAGATTACGTAGGTTAAAGCAAACGATATTAATTATATTGAA